AAAAAAAATTTAAAAGTAAAAAATAAATAAATAAACCTAATTGCCTCCCCGCCAAAATAAGCATTACCAAAAAAAAATTCTTTTAAATAAAGAGAATGAGTTGCTTAACACATAGTCAGCTCCACATATGCGTTAGCCACCACTGTCATCAGTGTTACCCACAGTCTTTGCGTTGCTCTGAAGGAGCAGGGAGCAGAGCTGGGCAGGGCCACTTAGAGGCAGGGTGAAAAGGAGGACAGAGAAGCACACAGAGGACACACAACAAAGAAGTGGACACACACAGCCTTGGCTAGAGACGCACGTAGAGCCAGATAAACAATGTCAAAAGTGGTCTAAAAGCAAAAAAGGAAAGTGTGAAGGAGAGGTGGTAAGGTCTTGGCTAAGTTGCCTTCAGAATGATGGGTAGTGAACTTTTTCAGAATGAAGGAAGAGAAAGGAAGAGAGCTGATGAGCTGATTATACAAACAAAACTTGCTTTTAAGAAGTAGCTTTTCTTTTTCCAATATCTGAGCCCCCTGGGAGATGTGTGCAGGCTTGTGTGACGGCAGAGCCACATGCATTTCCCATGGCCTTTCCTCAAAGGACCTGAGGCACAGTGCTGTCCCAGGCCACGGGGTGTTGTGAATGCACCGGGCCAGGTGGGAGCAGAACGGATTCACTCTTTGGGAGAGCCTTGCTCAGAAAGTTCATAGCCTTCGGTCCTGTGTTGATTTATGTAGCCTGCTTTGAAACAGTCAAACACATGGAAATACAAACTTATAAATCAAAAATAAGTAGGAAATTCTTCAAATAGGAAAAAAAAATTCCACAGTGGACAAAATAATTCACCATTGGACTCCCTTAAATCACTGATGGGATCATGATGGCATTTCCAGAACACCTCCCGGAGCTGTATCAGGGAGTCATCACATCTGAGGGTCTTCTTTAAAGCAGATTCATTAGAAAGCAAAAAGGTTTACAGAAAGAATTGAGTAACTACTCAGCCATAAAAAAGAATAAAATAATGCCATTGCAGTAATATGGTTGGACCTAGAGATCGTCATTTTAAGCGAAGTAAGCCAGAAAAAGACAGAAAAACGCCATATGATATCGCTTATATGTGGAATCTTAAAAAAAAA